TTGGAGTTTTGTCTTCCCCTTTGTATTCTTTGAAAAAATAAACGTTTTCTCACAATTGATCGACGTAAAATTACCTTGGGCGAAAGACCTTTATGACATTGGTACAAAACAGCGCCCCACTTAAAATACAGGAAATACGTTTGGAACTACTATTTGTAGTTCAACAAGACTTTTCCAGACCTGAATGAGACATTTTAAATAGACACATAAATGCGAAATTGTCGAAGTGGAATGAAAATGCTTTTAAAATTTGTCCTACATTGCCCTACATTGCATGTTACTTATTAACAACGGCGGCTATTGTTTTTGACATACTCGTCTGGCTAATTAAGCTTCTAGACTTTTGTATTAATTCCCGACAGGAAGTCAAAGGGATTATTCAACGATATTCATCACGCAATTGTTTCAGCAGAATTGTTGAGACGAATGTCAGGGCAAAAAAAAAGGCGTAGATTCTATTTATAAATTAACTTATTTCAACATTTAATTCCTAATAAGATACATGAAAAAAATACTCTGTTCTGATTGGTTAAGATAAATGCAGTTCTCAGAGAATTCAATGCAGAGGAGGGTAAATTCAGTGCAAAGGAGTAACAAACCAGACTGAATAACTCCTTGAACTGTTTAGCCGGACTTTGAACTTTTTTGCGCCTTAAAGTTGTGAAAACATCCTTGTATGTTTAACAATTGGTTCATACGTCAGCTGTGCGTTCATCGAGATATGAAGCACTTGGGAAGTTTGGCGTAAGAGTTGCTCGAGGCGTAGCCTCGAGCAACTCTAGCTTCTTGAGTGCTCTCCAAACTTTCCATGTGCTTCATATCTCGATGAACGCACAGCTGACGTATGAACCAATTTTTTTATATCATTTTCAACCCGATGGAAATTTTTTTTTCTCGATGGATTTGTTTGGTGACGTCATGAGCGTGCACAATAGGTATATGAAACACGCTCGCGCAATTGAATTTGATTACACAAATTTACTAGCTATGTTATAATTAACAAATAGATTCCAAGTTGCCGTGCGTCTGTTCAGTAATAGATCACAGATGACGTCAAAATGTGGTAAGAACAAAAAAGTGGCACTCGAGGCGCAGCCAAGTGTGTCACTAATGTTCTTACCACATTTTGACGTCCTCTATGATCTATTACTGAACAGACGCACGGCAACTTGGAATCTATTTATTTTATATAATAAAGAATTAAAAAAAAAATTTAATAATGACGTCATCTATACGTTTGTTCTCCAATAGATCATAAGTGAGAACCAATCAGAATGCGTGCACAACTGAGCTTATTATAAAATATTGTTTTGATCGTACGCGGCTGTTTTGACCGAACGCACAATGTCACTTGAAGGGTTTGAATAAATTATTTTTGCACTTGATGCGTCGCTTTGCTTCTCCATAATTATGATAAGCTATCTCCTATCTTTTTCGTGTATATTATTAATACGTAATCTGTAGGATTACCCTGTAGGAAAACATTTACTCGTGCTTATTTATTCCAAACTGCACTCGAAATCGTGTAATTACCAATACAATTTGTCACGCATCAAAGAGAAGAAAAGAAGCGATTGTGCTTACGTACTTACCCACCTCACCCTCGCGTAAACTCAGTTTCCTCGTCTTATGTTATCTTGTTTCCTTTCCAGGGTCCATATCAAAGTCAGCATGGCTTGTAAGTTTCTTTTATCGAAGCTCTATTAATAAATTCTTGAATGTTTTTTCCTCTAATAACGTAGAAATGTGTAATACATTTACGTATGGGTTTTGGCGTGTCATTTTCAGGGCGTAATCTCGGATACGAAGTCTACAAAAAAGAGATGGGAGAGGAAATGTTCAAAAAGAAGATAGAGGAATTCGAAAAGGTACACCTGGAATTTACTTTTCGTCAGACATGCATAACTCGCTCGTAAATAGCCTGGTTTTCATAACATAAAACTAACGGAAGGACTGTGGACTGTGCTTTTCCGACGGAAATTGTTCCATCGCATAAAAATCCTTATGTTTCTGTTGACGCCGCAAAATTTTCTGTTTCAGTTACTGATTTCGAGAAACATGCTCGATTAACTTTAAGTAGTATTCAATTGCGTCCTTTTCCTATGCCACACCTTTTTTGCTTGTCCCTCCCCTCCGCATGTCCAGTAGAATAACTGCACAAGCACATTTGTATGTCAGACTTAAACCAATTATAGCGAGCTGAATTCCTTTTGTTGTGCTGTTTCTTTGGATAG